ATTCTCTGGACGAACTCTTTCACAAGGTGCACTGACACTACTAAATAAAAAACAATACTACATTACAATGTAAGTAGTCATTGCATCTGTCTAGATCGCAATTATCGTCCTCATTAGCCTAATCTCCTAACTATAAAATATATAAACTACAACACAAATAATTGATCCTTCTTATGTAGGTAACTTCCGTTTTATGACGTAAGTATCCGCTTAAATTCTTTTTTCTTGATTTGTCTACATCTGCGATTGGTACTTGAACCCTTAGAGGAGACTTGAACCACAAAACAGTGTCATCTACCATGAGATTACAGTGACCGTTCTCTTTAGCGACCACGTAAAATATTCGTATACAAAATGGCGTATCCTCTTGTAACCGCTAGAGGCGCTGTATAATTTGCCATACAAAATTGTGAAGTTATTTACGCAGTCGCCACAGCGACAGCGACATTAGGAATAGTGATTCATGCTTCGCTACCTCATTAATAAATGAAGTAGGGAAGCTGCACTACTCTACTAGTAATCCAGTATTCATACAAGTATACCCGTGAATCCTACCAACGCATTTGTTTGCAGTGACATGCTCACTGGCAGTGACAGTCTTGATTTTCTTTTACTCTATGAAACAGGCTCTTCGTGGCAAATGTGATAAATGACTACTCGCATCATGTGTCCCTACTCTGGAGAAAATATGCCTTCGCGGTGACATCGTAACGTATATACCTAATGTTGACGTCTCTGGGTAACGAGTTCTTAGGTTTTCGCGATTGTTACACATAGGAAATGAAACTATTTTTCCGGATTTGAATCGCAGGAGTTTACAAGCTTGACTGTGAGTGCGGTCTCTCTTATATTGGACAAACAAAGCGAAGTATTTGTACCCGCGTCAAAGAACATATAGCTGATGTCAAACACCGTCGCGTAAACAAGTCTGCAGTCTGCGAGCATGTCATGGATAAACCTACACATTCAATGAAGTTTGACAAACCCCAGATCCTTGCAAAAGAAGTCCGTTATCTAACCAGGATGCTGCGAGAGGCCATTGAAATTAAAAAACATCCCAATTTCAACAGGGAAGATGGTTTCTCCGTACCACCAGTTTGGGATCCAGTATTTCCTCTAATGAAAAATCCCAAACAGACATAAGACTGCAGTACTAATTAATATGTTTTAGTTTATTCTAATTTCTATTATTAATTAATAATAAATTGAACTTAATAAAAATTCATTCAATAAAATAATTTGTAAAACTTTATGTAGCGTAAATTGGAATGTTTCTTTGTAAAATTAAAAATAAGGTATTTAGTTAATAACTATTGTAACTATAGTGAAAAAATAGGGTGGTTTGCATCAATATTAGACATAACTGATTGAAGACTGTACCACCTCAGTGAACCGTGACCATGGGACCTGTAATGGGCCCGAAACGTCGATTTGTTTGAAAAAACAAATATACGCGATTTAAAACCGGAAAAAATAGTTTCATTTCCTATCTCTGGGTAATCTAAAAGATATAGATATCCTCAAAAAAAAGATACTTCAAACCCTCAAGTGACTATCAGGTGAATCAGGTGATTTTATTTTTTGACATACACTAGACTCGGGGGGAAACACCTGTAAATCACGGATGTCATAGACACACATAGACAACCACAAATTACACCCAAACTAACGAAAATTCATTTGATCCGACTGAAATCGAACCGGGCCTGCATCATACGGTAGCTGATGCTCTTGTAGTTGTTGCAGATCTTTGTATTTTTGTTGTTTTTAATTACTTTTATCAGCACCATTTAAAACTTGACATTTTTGCGAAATCAAGTTTACGAAGGGTTTATTAATTTTAAGGGTTATTATTGAAGGGTTGGTTAATTTGACTGACACTGGCGACGATCGCCATATTTTTTTATATTATTCTTACAATACTGACACTGGCTTAATTCTAGTGGCCGCCATCAACTAAATAAAAAATAAATAAGTTTACGAATGACACATATATGGCGAAAGAAAACAACTCTGCTTTACAAACATAATGATTTATTGTGTTTTCATTAAACTAACGAGTATTTATTTATATTAACAACAGAACAATAACAAAATACATTTTTTACTAATAAACCACATAATTGCATTTACAATCAGTATCAACACGGTCAAAGCGACATAGTAACCAAATATATTTGTATGTTTTTAACAGAATGCACTTAAGGTGCATTTTTTACTAACGATGACATATTTACAATCCAGGACATCATCACAACATAATGCATTAGATAACATATGTATATATACATTTTTTTTACATATTTTTACACATGACATTAATTAAAGGTAAATTATTTCGCACGTTCAAACCAATAATGTCACCAAACGAAAACCTCGCTTTTCTAAATTAATTTTCAGAAATTTTAATAGCTAATGCTCAAAAGTTGAATATTTCGTACTAACGGCAATGGTTTCAAAAGTATCTGTATGTCACAGAAATCTAGTCCCTATTTGTTTAGATTTATGTGGTAAAAGTCGTTATGGCGATTGTTAACTCTTAACATCGAGTATATTACCAGAAATAGAGACGAAATGTCATTTAATTTGCTTGAAAATTATTCTGCCATATTACTGTGACGACTGCGCTCCGATTGGCTAGCCCGAGTTCGAAACAATTGACGGGTGTCGTCAATTGTTTCACTTCAAATCGACCAGTTAACTTGAGCTTTGCTATATAATTATATTTCATCGGTAATTATATTATTATATAATTACCGATGAAATTTGATGCAGCTTGTTTTGTAATTACTCGTAACAATAGAAGTCGTATTATAAAAACTTCGACGTAACAAAATTAGAGATTATTTCAAACTTACATTGAATTCCATGCAGTGTTTTTCTTTAATGAGACAATATGGGGAAATATAGGCACCAAATCCTAGTAATTTACATTGCATAGGTTGCAAAAGTTATTAATTTACATTGTTCGGTTGCAAACGTTATTCATTTGTATTGGTTAGGTTGCAAATACTAGTAAGTCACGTTATATAGGTTGCAAATAGGCTAGTAATTCGCATTACATAGATTGTTCATTTATTGTGCATTATATAATTGTCGTGAGAAGCTGATAACTAGTCGAAGACAAATACGCCTGGACGGTAGTTTTGTACAAGCATAATCAAATATAAACGCAACTAAACGACGGGACAAACAAGTCGTGCATCTGGTGGTAAGCAACACGCCTATGCAAAGTAATTGCAGTACCACTCAGAGCTTTGCATTGTAAAAATTTGAGGGACACTGCCACTGCGCCCGCCACCCTGAGACATACGTTGACCAGTCCCATGTGCCCGTAATTTCACCAGCACTCTTACCATTCAAAACCGGTACACAGTAATGGTCACATTACTGCTTGGCGGCGGCTGCTAATGAGACAATATGGGGAAATCCGAAACCATAGACGATACAAAAAAACTGTCTTAGGAATCAAGTCTATTTTTGTTTAATCAATTTTGGCAGTGAGTTGTCCGTAAAATTAATAAAATTGATCATACTTTCTTTTTATGCTGATAGACTCAGTATAGTAAGTATATAAGTATCATGAGACGAAAGAAATCGGTACAGCTGAAGTTGGTCAAATTTAATTAAATGGTTTTTCACAGGGTAGCCAGATTGTTACGCATTTTAATTACATCGACATCGTTGGATGGTTAATCCAACGGTATAAATTATTGCCGGAAACTTAAATGTGTCAACGACCTATCCAGTAATACATAAAACTTTTGGGTAAAATGCCTCTAGGAATTAACATAAACGTTCCAAGTCATCACGCATGGTAACCATAGATTTAGTATATAGGTTATATACTAAATCCATGATGGTGACAGCGTATTGGGGAAGCCTGGTTCATCACTGCACGACTTAAGCTGATAAAAGATCAGTTTTTTCTTCCATACAACTTTGCCCAAAACATGTACTTCAAGTAACTATCACATAGTATTAAATAAAATACGGTGAATTTAAAAAAAGGAAAAAATAGAACTTATAGATAATAACTTGTACCATTAAAAATTATTGTTCGAAAATATAAATTACTGGCAACACAATAATAATACATGGCAACGTCTATGCTTTTAATTGTATGCAACCGATAGGTTTATTAAAAAAAAATAGGTCTTATCATCTTTTGCACATCGATAAAAAATATCCACCAATTCTTTTATAACTTATTCATTACTAATCAATTAATATATTATTACAATATCTAATAAGGTTAGCTAAAAGCTATGTCCCAAGCTGTTAAATCTTGTTTAAATGTCACTTCATGACGCTGTCGACACGTCAACGTCAAAGAATGTTTTTTATTCCGTTGCTGTTTTGTGTTTCGTTTGATTCGTGTGTCTGGAGTATTACTATTTGTGTTTTTGATGTATTATCTGGCTGTTCTATAAGGATATTTTCTCAAAAGAACCAGATTAGTAGCTACAGTGACAGCTGTCAAGCACGACTTGCACGTTTCGTCTATCGTTTGTCTTGTAAATTGAAGAACTACATTTTTCCGCAACTTCTATTGAAATTAAAAAGATTTCAATTAATGGACCCTTTCCTATACTACTTTAGACATTTTTTGACATAAGTTGTACGTTACTACACGTTACTGTTTTGATGTGAGTTGTGCCTCGGTACACAATTTGGGCAAAAATTGAAAATCTCCTTTACGTTCTAGATTTCTCAGTTAATAAGTCGGTACAAACCCAAATGGGTTTGGTTGATTCCACATAATAGCGAAAGCGTCGAACAATTACTTTGAAGAAAACATATAGTAAAATTGAGGATGTACACAGATTACATTAAATTTCACGATAGAAAAAATACAAACTTACCTGGAAATTTTACAAGAAAACCTCTGTATTCAATAAGTACTTTACATATACCAATGATTTTTTTTTTATATCAACTAAACTAAATAGAAACGTATTGTATACGATATACATTTTTCAAATGTCTCTAATTACGTTTGTAAACAAATAAATTCTGCAATAAAGCCAGTGTCCCCCAAGCAAAATGAATCGTATTAGTACGGGCAAAATTGAAATTGGAGCTAAGGTAGTGTCGACTCTTAAAAGTAACTGAATACTAAACTTCGAAATCAGCTCTAGCTATCATCAGGTCACAAACTCTTCGCCTTTCGATCCTTCAGCAGACTAGTGATAAAGAATTCCCCAGCTCTATAAGAAGACCTGACGAGAGGTCCGCTAGCGGTGTACAAGAAGCCCAGTTCTTGCCCGCGCTGCTCCCACTGGGCGAACTTGGCCGGAGTCACGTACTCGAACACCTTGAGGTGCTTCTTCGTGGGCTGCATGTATTGGCCGAGGGTCACGCAGTCCACGCCGGCGGAGCGGAGGTCTGGAACGATGTTACTTTGAAGAGAACTCTAGTCCGTAAAGCATTGATAATATATAACTGCCTCCGTGGCCGAACGGTTACCACGCCGGACTGCCACGCAGAGGCCCCAGGTTCGATTCCCGGGCCGGGAGAAATATTTGTATGACCTACATTTATTTCTCTCGTGAGTTTGGGTGTAATTTGTGGTTGTCTATGTGTGTGTCCATGGCACCCGCGACACAGGGTTTCCCTAGTGCGGGGCTATGTTGAGTGTGTGCGTTATTATTATTATTATATTATTGCTATCTCTATCGGCCATGAAGTGTGTGAGTGAGACAGCGCTTATTTGAAAGCACTTCCGCGCATCACTTATAATTTTCTATTGCTTGAAGCACGTTTTAGAAATCTTTCCTTGAACATCAATTTTTCAACGAGAGATTCGTTCCGTGTTACGTTTAGGTTCTCGGGTTTAAGGAGACTGGTATCATGACTGTGACATCGCAATACATTTACTCAAATGTTTTATAAGCCCGTAAAAATATACGTAACTTAATTAAAAAAGAAGATATCTATAATATTAACCTTAGAACTAAGTCCAAACTCATGGACCACGTTTTCGTTTAACTAAGGTAAATGATTCTTTTATGGGGAACTGTATACGTTTTTACAATAAGATTCCGTAGCATATATTAAGTGTACCATTTCCTAAGTTTAAAACTTACATTAAAAGTTTTTTCATTGAATAGTCATATTACAAAATTGTAGACTACGTGTTAGATAAAGATATATGGAAAGACAACGCGAGTCAAGATTCCACACAAATATGATTCAAAATGTATTCTATAGCATTTAAGTTTATTTGAAAAGAGCAATCACCAGAGTTTCTTGCTCGTTCTTCTCAGGGAGGTCAGCGTAGTGAACGAGCAGTAGCTTAAAAAGTAGCTTAAAAAATGACGTTTTCAAGTATAAAAATTATACCTATAGGTATATAAATGATTATTTGACTTTGGCTTTGACTCTAATTAAATAGAAAAAAATGTTTTACTCATAAAAACTTAACTTTAAACTTTTAACAAGTTCTTGGGCCCGTAGGCCCGAACGTAAACTTAAGGTTCTGGATAGTGTCTATCAAATTGCAATAAATGTAACCTGATACCGTCTTAAATAAATTCAAGCTACGTGTACAGGTAGAGGCCCGTTAAAGTGTCCCGTATACTTATGTAATAAGTTTTTAGTCCTCATTATTGCTGTTACCTTTCATAGTTTGCTCCACTTGTTCATCAGATTCTCCCAAGCCCAACATGATGGAAGACTTGGTGACTAAATCAGGGTTTATTTCTTTGGCTGTTTCTAGCACCTTCAACGTTTGACGATATCTGAAAGTAATGTTTGTATGATTATTCAGACTTGGCCATAAATCATCGGAGCGGGACTGCGATATTCCGTTCTCTCTCGTATTCGCTTAGTATTGAGGGAATGCGACGCGTGCGCAATCCAGTTACCGAAGGAAAAAGCCACTAAGAGGCGCGGTCGGTGCGTTACCCTATGAGTAGGTAATTTATTATCAATAATAATAAGTTTATTATTAGAAATTTTATATAAAATCGGACCTCTCACGGAAGAAAGGCTAAGTGAAGTTACGTGAAAAATGTTTATTGCTCCATTAGATACAGAAAAATATAACCCACATCCTCTCCAGTTCATGTAACTCTATCGACTAATATTGTAGCTATCTACAATTACATGAGAAGTGCGAAATCAAAACGTCGTAACTTGCAATAATAGGTATTGATGGTATTGAATTTTCAACAATATGCCAACAGGGTAAAGTTTATAGTTTATAGGTATAGTCAAGAACTTGTTAGTTCTGTTTAAATTTTAAACTACGACCAATCATTATCAAGATTTCATAGTGCGAATGTGAGGGTTTTGGCGCCAACGGTTCTGATATTGTAAGATTATGGCACTTCCATTGTTATTTTTTCTTCCATGGGTCAGACGGATGCTTCTTTAATGGAGACCCATGGGTAGATAGCACAGTTAAGTAGGTAACTCACCCAGCTCTGGGGTCTCTGACGAACGGCGTGAGTCGCTCGACGGTTTCGATGTTATGTGCGAACACGTCGAGGCCGCTGTTCGCGATGGCCGCGATGCTGTCGCGGTTGCCGCGGAAGTCGGGCACCAGGCATTCCACGAGGATCTCTGTGCTTCTGCAAATGAACAACACTTCGCAACGGGTTTTTAGACAGAGACCGCTTTACGGCTACAAAAGATCCAAAAATAACCAAAATTTTATTTTACATATAACTAAAAATTACATACTTGACAAACACCGTCCTGACCAAATGCCGCATTTTTTTCTTATTTAACTAAATAGATTTTAAGACTTTCGTGGTTATTCACTAAATGATTATCACTAATATCAGGTTTCTTACCACGGTATGACTTCTTTTTATTTTCCCTATATTTCAGTCAACGCGTGACCATGGAGCGTGCAACCGTTCCGAAATATCGGGAAAATAAAAAGAAGTCATACCGTGGTAAGAAACCTGATATTAGTGATAATCATTTATTTAACTAAGACTTATAATCATTGAAATATTTTTTTTATAATATTAAGTGACGGGACGAACAAGTCGTGCGGCTGAGGGTAAGCTACGTGCCTGTCCATAACAGTTGCAGTGCCACTCAGAGCCATAAATCGTAAAGATCTGAGGGGCACCGATAACCGAATCTTTTTCTCATCCCGCTTCGATAGTGCTAACCACTGGGACACCGAGAATGTCGTACAGTAGTGAAAAACCCATAAATAAAAATAATTATTCAGCGGCTCTATATATCCAGGGAAGTACTGCCACTTTACCTATTTCTGCCGCCAAGCAGTAATGTCAACATTACTGTGTTCCGGTTTTGAAGAGTAAGGGTGCTGGTGGAACATGGGACTTGTCAACTTATGTCTCAGGGTGACGGGCGCAGTGGCAGTGCCCCTCAGATCTTTACGATTTAGATCTCTGAGTAGCTCTGTAACTGCTATTCATAGGTCTGTCGCTTGCCACCAGGCGCACGACTTGTTCGTGCAGTCACCACAGACTACTTAATAGTTACTACGTAACAGATACATCACTCATACAAAATCGAAAATACCTACGCTATCTACTAAATCTGACTTAGAACACCAGGCGTTCACTACGAGGAAAAAGGAACCTAAACACGCGCTCGGACAGGTGAAATTAACGTTGCCCGTCGTGTGTAGTTGTGCGGAGCCGAATGCTCATAAATGAAAGACTTGTGTGAACGCTTGTGCCGACGTCGGTACACACAGCGGTAGGCATTTATCGCGTAACCTTGAGCGAGTGACTGAGCCCTGCTGTCACTTAGTATCATAAAAACATACTCACTGCTTCTTTATTTCTCTGACAGTCTCGGCGAAGTGTGAGGCACCGCCGTCTGGTAAGTCTGTAGGCAAAGTATACAGTATTATTTTCATTCTAATATTTTTCTCTGTAACAAATTGAAGAGTGATTGGATTGGCCCACTTTTCAAATTGTTCCAGGTCTTACGGAAAAAAAAGATGCCATACCATCTCGATCGACAGAGGTGAGCACGATGTACCCAAGACCCCACTGGTGGATGGCGTGCGCGGTATTCCGTGGTTCGTCAGGGTCCAACGGCGGCGGGTGGCGTGACGTCTTTACTGAACAGAACATGCAGCCGCGCGTGCATGTGTCGCCCATTAACTGGAAAACAACAGAAATATTGTGTTATAAAAACCACTGCACATTCGTCTGTAAGTGCCAAACGTATAATAAAACGAAACTTCGAACAGACACAACAGCGTTTAAACTGTATTCCAAGTCATATGCATAAGTCATTATGTGAAATAATGAACGAAATATACACAAAATTACAGTGGCAACACAGAACAATAATATATCGGAGACAGTAATGAGTACGGACACTAAAAGGAACGCAGGCGCGCCACCTAGCGGTGTAGTCCACACAACTACGTTTACCGCTCTTAAACAGAGTAGTGACATTGTTGGCCGGCACAATCGGACACATTTTTGATCGATCACATTTTGAACGCTACATATAAGTTCTTATTCAATTTCATAGCGATTAAAATATAATGGTCCTATTAGACATCTCATTACACGATTCCTAAATCTGCCTAAACGATGTCTAAGCCATTATGGGTCCGACAATATAAAATTGTAAATTAATGTGAAACAGACGGACTTATTGCTATGTAGAAATTTCTTCCAGGAACCTGAGAATATAAATTTGGGATATGAAAAAGTATTCACTCTTGGCCGAATTTCTTTTATAGGTGTTTAAATTGCGTTAATTTTAACTAATTCATAATAATCGACCTCGTTGACCCAACTGTTTGCATTGTGGGCACAGAATAAGGAGGACCCGGGTTGGATAGGACCAATTTAGGAAATGAACTTTTCTAAATTGGTTCTAGTCTGGGTGTTCTGGAAATTTTCTTAATGAACCAGGTAATTAGTAGGGTTGTATTATTTAATAAAGTAAATATGGATTACTTCATATAGTATTTCAACACGGTTGTATCAAAATATCGTCCAACACTAGTCATCAGTACTAGAAACCATTCTGATCAAAACGAATTTCACGTTGCGGATGAACGATATTTCGCTCATTCAGTGATATCAGCCTTTAAGCCTAACATAACAAACTAAAATATTCATGTCTGTTCTAAAATGTTGTTCCCAAATACTAGTCTATGTTAAAAGTTTAAAACAATTCAAAAAGACAATAAAGGAGGTAATATTAATTTAATTTCAAATATACATACCATGATAGTAGCAGTGCTGGTGCCATGTTTCCCACCACTCCAGCACTCCCCGATGTTGGGACAGCGAGCCTCTTCACACACAGTGCTGAGTTTCAGGCTTCGTAACTGCTGTTTTATTTCATTAAATTTAGAACCTGGAATTTATTTTTAAATTTAGATTACAATTTTGTCATTGTTAGATATATGCTATACAGAATTAATTGCAACACTGTCATAAAGAGCATAAAAATGTTAATTTATATAATTAAGAGTAATAGTACATTAAGAGTTACAGCGCGACTTTTCGCAGCAATGCAAATGCTTGTTCGTGAAACGCGCGGTTGCATAACAAATAACGCTATTTTAGTCTTGTCTCCTCTCTAACAAAAGGGTGTAGGCTAAAGGCACGGGCGCAATGCAGGTTCCCAGTTCAAATGTTTCCAAAGGGTTGTGAACTTTATTATTTAACCAATAAAGTTTCTACAGTATTTTTATAATTTTTTTTACAAATATGTAATAGGCAATTTAAAGCCAATTACAGAAACTCAGTTTGTATATAAAGCATGATATGTTAACAACATGTTGGGTTTAAAAAGATATTAAAAGTAGTACTATAAAAAAAAAAGCGGAATTCCAATAGAAATTGTTGTGTATGTGCGAGGGGTGGCTGAAAAGTTATCCTTTACGACTATTTCCAATTAAAAAATTATATTGGCGCGTTCCTTATATATTCTATTTTTAAAATTAGTGACACTCTTTTGATTGTTTCGCTTTGCATGAACAAAATGGCGGAACAAAAGCAAAATGAGTAACAAATTTTTTTTAACAGGCTCTTCCTAACCTTTAATTCCCTTACTAACAAATATAATATTTATCACCTACATTCCTGTACATTTTTGGAATTAAGAAAATAGTAGCCATGATTGTCATTTATTTCATATATAAGTAGATTACTTTTCGGCCCCCCACGTTTATGTGCATGTGTGATGATGCATTAATTTTGCCTCTCGTGCCTCAAAGATTGTGCTAGCCAGGTAAAACAATTAAAGAAACCGTTGTCAGTCGTTATCGCTTTGTTAGTGCTCGCTGCTCGGCTTACACAATGCATAACATCAAATAAAACTGTTTCCTTGACTAATAACTAGAGGTATTGCTATATATATTCTCAAATACACATAACCTAGAAATTAATGTGATAGGCAGTGGCGAATTTGCCCTAAGGCCCAATAGGCGCGGGCAGATTTTAGGGAGGGCTAATCATGACAAAAAATTCACTGATGATTACAAGAAATAACTCAACGTACCTAAGCAGCTATTATAGTTAATTAAATTTCTGTATTGATTTCGATAAAAGGCAATAAATTCATTATGTAGTCTACCAGTATATGATGAGTGGTGCGGCTGGTACTGACTACATGGCCTGGGGCCTAGGGCGGCAAAGACTGCAAATCTGCCACTGGTCATAGGTATATGCTGCCACACATATTTGAACTGTCAAATTATTCATTGAAAAGCAATCAGTCTCCTTAGTTACAACCTCTTATTGTAAAAATGTATAATTATAAACAAATATATATAAGACTTCTAACAAACCGGTAGGTATAGTAGTCTTCAGCCAAGGTGGTAGCCTCAGTCTCTCTCTTTCTCCTTTTTCCCTCTTCAGCTTGCCCTCATATTGATCCCAGGTCTTGGGACTGTCTTCGGATACAAAATCTGCTAAACTTGGCCCAGCTTTCAGTTTTTCCCTTATCTGATCCAATTTTGTCGTGTGTTTACATCTCTGGAACTGAAAAAAATGTAATATTTACTATCTATACAATATTATTCACACAAACAGGAATTTACACTAGTTATCATACTGTACAAAATAATGTGCATTTATATTAATTTATGTAACATAATTATTGAAAGAAAAGACATTCTAAATCATAGTTTCCCAAAGTGGTCCCTACCACCGAGTGGGCACTGTAGAAAAAACCTGAGTTATCTAAATATATAAACTACCCTACATTTTTTCGCTTGTAATTATTTGTATTAATATAAAAAATAAATTGTTTTCAATTATCGGGTTTTCAGGTTTTCGACATTGTTACACATAAGAAATGAAACGATGGAAGTTGACTGTCAACTGTGACCATGGGACCTGTTTGAAAAAACAAGTATACGCAATTTAAATTTAAATCTAAATCTGGAAAAATACTTTCATTTCCCATTTGTTTACAATCATTTTTTGTGGAGGTGGTTATTGAAAATCTTTTATCTTGCCTAAGTAGGCGGTGAACCAAAAATGTTGGGAACCTATATTCTAAATCTATTCAGACTTGACTCCAGCAGTGCATCATTTGTCAAAGATGATTAAAGCCAACATGAAAATAATTAAGTCACTAATTAATTCATGTCTTAAAGTGTTGTTAATATCTTTCCGAGGCATTGAGTACCAAATGGTAGCAGTACAATAGGATTTTTCTCTTTAAAACAGTGTTTGCATACTCAGAAATTGCATATTTGGGTAATTTTCAGGTAAGTTTTTTGTACTCAACTTTGGTGACAATTTCTTTTTATTTAAATATTATTTAACATTCCACTAATTAAATAATAAAAATTGTCACCAAAATTGAGTACAAAAAACTTACATGGAAATTACTGGTTTCAATATGCCGTCACAAATATCGTTTTTATTTATACATAGATAACAAACTGCCCTTACATAATGTAACTACAAGCTATATTATATTACAACTTCTACGATGTTTGTAAATCGATAATACCAGTCAAAACTCAATCAGCTGATTACTTACATCATTCTTTCCCGATATAATGTACAGTCTCAAATTATTCCGAAACATTATTAACTAGCAACAACTTGTACAAAATAGATAATTTTCATAATATTTTCATCACGATGCGGTCACAGAACACTATACATACTCACGAGGAGGGAAAGCGTAGAAAAACAAAACTACTGAGATTTCAGTTCAGAAATACAACAACTGTCATTAAGGTCACGTCCGCGTTAAAGTGACAGCTTAGAGTATATTTATGAAGAATGGTTTTCCTTTTGGTTGTAGTTGTTATTTTTTCCTTTTATTATGAATAAATTGACAAACTGTGGTTATTTTCTAATTTTATACTTGAAAGTTAATTGTCTATTTATTTTTGACTGAACCGCCGCACCCACACCTAGAATAATTTTATATTTTATTGTACGTACACATAATCAAGGAATACGGGCCCTGTCAATGGTACTCAACCAAAAAAATACGTTTGCTTATTATAGCAAAACGATAGGAATTTTTCAGTCATAAACATGTAGGTTTTTCTTTCATTTTTGTTTAAAGTCAACGGTTATGCCCAAGATCAAGCTCAATACATTAATTAGCATGATTTTTGGATTCATTACCTAGTTTAGCAGTAGTCTTTGCTGGTTTGACAGTTGTGATGTTTCTTAAACATCACAAGCAAAGTAAAAAAAACTCGACTATATCGGTTTTTGGTTTGACTCATACTCTGTAAAATGCAGTATATTTAGTGCATTTGTGTTACTTGTAAAATTATCGTGACTCTTCAAAATAGTTAATCAAAATAAGTGTTGTGTCGATGACCTTGAGATCTCAGCTGTCAACTAACCTAACCAATCGCGACAAGAGATGAAATAAACATTGGATTTTTCATAGTCTTCACAATGAGGAACGTGGATACCCGTCTTCTAGAAGAGAAAATGGAAGAAGCAGTCACGCACTACATAAATTCCCATGCATCAAGCGAGGTAATTATGACGTTAACGTAACATTAGCATTTAATATGCATCGTTTTGTTGACGCAATGTTATTATGTTCCATCTTGAATATTGGTTAAAAATTGGTTTTACAAATTTGACACGAAATAAAGGAAAAAACGCATTCAAATACTTTGTGTCTTTGTACTGGTTTGTATCCATGTATCAACTATTATCATCCATTATCCAGTTATAACAAGTCATGTGTCAATTCCTACAAAGCACTTTTAACAAATAATAATTTTTTTCTCTCTAGGCAGTGCATGTTGATGCACATTCCCTAGCTCTCAATGTTCAGGATGACTCCGGCAGAGTGGTGGTCATGCAACATGGACAAGGATTTGCTTCACAAATGACCAGGTACCAAAGAGTGCATAATTTTGTGGACCATATCGAGTTCTTAGGTTTCGCGATTGTTACACATAGGAAATGAAACTATTTTTCCGGATATAAATCGCGTATATTTGTTTTTTCAAACAAACTGACGTTTCGGGCCCTTTACAGGTCCCGTAGTCACGGTTGACTGTCAACCATGACCATGGGACCTGTAAAGTTGGTTTGTTTGAAAAAACAAATATACGCGATTTAAATCCGGTAAAATAGTTTAATTTCTTATGTGGACCATTTCTCTCAGAATTCCTATTAAAAGTTAGTTAATTGTACTTTTTCAATTAAAATACAATTAACTAACTTTTAATAGGAATTGTAAGTTTTTAAATTCTGAGCTGTTTCAAAGTTTTTTCAAATATTTTT